CCAATTGTGTACGCGAACAAAATGCATGCTGAAGTGAATCAATGATTGAGTGATGACTTTGTCAGTATTTTAAGAGGTGAGATTCATTAGAAGTGGCGCAGGCCACTGAACTGAAGCTTAATTTGTGGAACTATGTATTGGTGTAAGGTGAGGTGTAAAAACAAGTGAAATATTCCAGTAACGGGTAACTTGTTGTAGTACTCACCTGTCTCATTATAGTGGTGCCAGTCTTGAAAAACAAGGGGATCACTGAGGATATGAGCAGTAAGCGAGGCTGCCATTAAACTCGCGAACGATTTCCAACGATCAGTACCGGATTTTCTGCAATCCGCGTAGTCTGAAATTCCTTTAATAATAATCCAAGGAACGTCCAATGCGTGGGCTGCTGCATAAAGACCTATAACGGAATAAAGTCAATGACGTCGGTCAATAAATTACCAAGAGCAGAGCCAGGCAGGTCAACGTTCTAAGCGGCCGGTTGCTGAAAAATTCGACTCCACAGACGTGAAAGGAAGGATGGAGAATGCAATCCCTTAAGCTACGCTAAAACAGGCAACAAAAAGGTGGAACTTGTTTCGCAACGCTGCTGCTAAACGACTTGAAAAGCGATATTGTGCGTTTTACCACCCACAACAAATCAGGTTTTTTTGTTGCAGATAGAAGAGAGCAGATAGGTTTTATTCGTGGGTGGCAAAGCGTACAACACTGCTTTTTAACACGTTTAGCAGCAGCGGTTTTAAAACAAGTTGCACGTTTTTACTGCCCTTTTTACCGCAGTTTAATTAACAATTACTCCTCGAGCCCGAATGGGCTGTGAGTCAATAGCCCATGAGGCCGAACTAGTGCGGCCCATGGGCTATTGACTCAGAGGCCATGAGGACGAGAGGAATAACTGTTTTAGTAAAATCCAACTTTAGCTGGTCAAAAATATGGAGACAAAACAACTTAAGCTATTTATAAAGCTAGACTTTAATCCTTTTTTGCCGCCAAAAAGCCGGCGTTTTTCGCTACTAGTGGGCTATAACATATAGCCTAGTAGTAGCTCAACCAATCAGAACGCAGCATTAATAATAGACCACTAGTTGGATATTACTAATACCCATTATCTGAAGCATTGTCTCTCTGTGAAAGAGGTCACCAGGCTAAGTATCTGGGGAAGAAGATGAAACAACCGGCTAACAGGACCCTAGGTTTCCTTATAAGAAGTGAAAGAGAGTGATAAACAAAAAGTAAAATGTCTTTTTAAGGACACTCCCTTTCGTTACGGGTTTACGTTCATTTCTCTAATAAAGAAGGGACTGTTATTTCTATAGAATGCGGGATGGACTAAGCCAGCTATTAAGGTTTAGAAGTCGCAGAACAATGGTAGAATCTTATTTCAGTAATATGAGGGAGACCCTAGTATTAGTCCGGCTTGAAATACGCCTCGCAAACTCCCGCTATTCAGGCTATATAGTGTTTTGCCGACTCACCTAAACCTGCGGTCAATAGGCCAGGGTTATTAGCTATACGCTAAACAAGATAGTAGGTAAAACAGTTTTGTTTTCTGGATCATAGAATTAAGGGTATGAACCCAATAACAAAAGACGCGCGTCTTGAAGTCACTAACAGCTGACCTTTAGCGACTCCGGAGACTCTGATTTTGGATTCATAAATAAACACAGATTTACGTTTATAGTCTCTTTTTACGTAAACAACGATTTTAAGACATCCATATATTATCTCTCGCCGCACGCAAGGAAATCCTGGAAAATTCTGCTTATGGAATCCGGAATCCCCCTGACGATTGGAATCTAGAATCCAAGTTCGACTGACAACATCAGTAGTTTGACATCAGTAGTTTGCTACTGGTGAAGAGTTACGACACGTAGATATATTTTTTTGGAAATACCATAATTTGCAGTCTATCCACTCTGAATTGCAAAGACTGGAAACCAGTAGCTGGAATCTGGAATCCACGGCGTGGAATCCAGAATCCTAGACTGTCTTGGATTCCCCTTACATGGGGTGATATCTCGCTTTTCCAGTTAATTATTTAAGGTGTCATCATTAGTAGAAATAAGATTCGTAAAAGAAATCTTTACTCCACTTCCTGCAAAATTGCTTAAAACTGTCATAATTAGTGTGCATAACAGGCGTTAATTAGCCGAGCATAAGAAGGGAGACAATCAGTTCCGTGGTTGTCCCTTTCGTTTCGCGCTCGGCTAAGGAACGCCCGTTACGCAGGCTATCACCATCATCATCGTCATTATATGCTTACCTTGCCCTTCCAGTTCCATAGCAATTGCCTGTGGAAAGCGCTTGATGAGTGTCTCGCGGCATTCGTTGTTATCAATCACCCCTGGAACACTCAGAAAATCGCCACGGTGTATTTTCACCTCAAGTGCCTTGGGATCTTTTAAAGGTGCTTTCCAACCATCTCCAGCGTTAGGGATCAGCCTCAAAGGAAGGGATTTCAGCGGAACTTTGTCGCCGACTTCATCACTGGATGGAACACAGGTTATTAACATCTCTGAAATAGCCACGTCTCCAAGTTTGACTTCACTGGATTTTAAGCTGTGGCAAATACCCACTAGAAACACGGCTTTGGGCCTCAAGACTCTGACAGCCGCCGATACAGAGACTGCAGAGCCTCCTACAGTGATCGAACCCTTGTGGCACTTCATTACAGATATTTTGACCTTCATCCCAACTCTTTCCAGTTTCCCGAAGTATACGTAACCAAGGTCTTTGCAGTAACTTCTACAAAAACTGGAATTCAGACACGAAAGGCAGGCTAGAAATTCACATTCCTCTACCGTTAGTAACAAAATGTCAGTTGGAAGGCGGCCGTCGTCCCACGATACCCCTGTTTCAGGAAGATCCTTAGTCTTGAGCAGAGATAAAGTTACCTCTGGTGGGTTACTTGCAGGATCTGTGAGAAAAATAACGCTAATCAACTTGTGGAGTTATTATTAAAAATAGTAATAATAACAAGATAAAACCAAACAATCAAGAAAAAAAATAACTTTATGGGCATATACGTAAGAGCTAATTATTGTTGATATATCATTACAGAAAACAACTACTTCGTTTTTTTTAAAGGTTCTCTCTCCATGGATAATGCATGCTCTCTCTAAATTATCAAAATCAATCAATAGCTTTAAAAAAACTTTGTCTACATTTCCGTGTTACCATCGACTTCTTTTTAAGTAAGAGGTCTCTGACTGATCAAGACATGTGACTATACTGCAATGATCAAGGCGTCGTATCTATATAATTGCAGTACATCCAGTGGATGTTTTTGTTAGCCGCTTTTTACCAAGCCACATCAAGTCTCATATTTAAATAATGAGGCCACTGAGATGAGATGCTTTCGGAAACTGCTTGGCATCTCATACAGAGATCACATCACTAACGATGCAACCAGAGACACAATCAGGCAAGCCATTGGGCCCTATGATGATATCTTAACCACCGTAAGGAAACGCAAGTTAAAGTGGTTTGGGCATGTATCAAGATCATCAGGGCTTGCCAAGACGATTTTACAAGGAACAGTGCAAGGAGGGAGAAGAAGGGGCCGACAAAAGAAGCGTTGGGAAAACAACATCGCTGAATGGACAGGGTTGAAGTTTTGCCATGCCGTAAGAGAAGCTGAAAAATAAAATGGAGGGAGAGGGTTGCAACGTCTGTGGCGCCCCAACGGTCATTGACTACGGGATAGGTGCAGGTGCAGGTGCAGGTGCAAATAGGTTTTTTAAAATATACCTTAATTATAACGGCAGGTACTAAATTAGACGAATGTCGCAAGTTGGATAAAATTCGCTAAATTATCATCAATGTAATAGGTAAAATTTTTGCATTCATTAATATTGGCCCCTGCCCTGCTGCCCTTCACCCCAATGAATCGCTCTTTACGGCCGGTGTCTAATACCACTAAGGGCCTGCTTACATGGAGGTGGGGGACCCCAGTAGGTGAGGTAACCCGCCTGTCAATATAATCAATCATTTTTATTTTATCACGTTTACATGATACGTGGGGTGACCCGCCACCTGATACCTCTCCTAGCTGGGGTCCCCACCTCCATGTAAATAGGCCCTAACATAGTTGTTCAGCTATTTCACGATTTTATGTTGGTGTGAAACAATCGAGAAATAGTAATAAAGGAACAGGGTGGAAATATAGCGTTTTCACTCACGTGGTCTGCATCTATGCAAATTTATTGGAAAAAAGGAAGCGTTTACATAAGAAAAGAGTTTAACTCTCACAGAATTGGTTTGGAACACCAACATGTCCGCCGTTTCATTGTTTTGGAACATCAATATGACCTCCGTGACGTCACGTGAAAACGCTCTATAGGGTTGGTGAGGACGAGTTCGTTCTTGCTAATAGGCTCAGTAGAATGCCAGCAAGTTGGAGCAAAGAATTTTTTGCACCTGTCCAAAAATTGATGAAGATAAAAATCTTTGGAAAATCTTTCTAAAAACGATGATACGATTAGTAATGGTAACAGGACTGAGTGGAGTCCAATTCGGTCTGTAATCATACGAGTGATTAACAAAATTGGACGACCGCGTAGCGGGAGTCCGATTTGTTTAATCACGAGTATGATTACAGACTGAATTGGACGACACGAAGTTCTGTTACTCATTAATCATAACTTTAACAAAATTTGTGATACTTTAGGCTATTTTTTAAACCAAAACACAAGAAATTCGAAAGGTTGTTTTGCTAGCACAGAAAAAAAAGCCATTTAAGCGCGCGCGTGATGGCGCGTACTGTCCAGTTACTTAGGCATGACGCGTACTGTCCTATTAAACTGTCCAATTAAGGCTGAAATCAGGGCAGTTGAGAGCCAATCAGATTTGACAATTTTGTTATAGTTATGATTATAGCCGAAATAACATGAAAAATCCCAAAGGTAGGCCAGAAATTTCAACTGTCCAGCCTGGAAAAAACACCCAAACTTAACTTGCTGAGGCAAGATTAGAAATCTTAAATTACGGTTAAATAGGACAACCTAACCTCTTTTATGTGAAATAAGACTAACATAGTGCAGCTCGTTCACGTGACCCAGCACAAGTCGGTTGCCACCAGTAACATCATACTCTGGGCAAATCATTACGTCATCGTGATGCGGCAGACTGCTGATCACGTGGATGCACGTTGTAAAACGGTTTGCCGCAGCGTGAAGAATCACGTGATCACCCCATGTACCATCTGCCATCATGTCTGTGAGGTAGGTATTCCAAGATGAATATCCATCAACAAAGTCGAGGAGCTTTGTCCCATCCGACTTTAAGCAAAAAAAATACAGTGTATGAACTAGAATAAACCCAGCGGTTTTGTTAATAATATTTTATTACTTTCTCCACTCCAAAATTCAATGGTTAACTTTTCAAACTGACTTTGACTTCCAGACTCGTTGAATAATCGCCGATATTAAACTCTGTCTTTTTTTCAAGGGGTGACGAAAACTTTTGGGTCGGGAGCCTTGAGAGACAGTTGAGTAGTTTAGTAGCCACCGCTTGCTTCAATTTTGGAACAAGAATCTCATAAAAAAGAGGGCGCGAATACATAAACGCGATGACGTCATGACAAGCATCTCATTAAGATTACGTCATGGTTGGAAGAAAAAAACTATAACAGTGAGAGGGAAGATTGAGTAAACAAATTTATCAATCCCACTCTATTTTGTGTAGGATGGCCCTTATTTCCTTCGTCGACAAGACTCAAGCAATGGAGTCTTTTCTTATTTTAGTCAACCAATCAAAACCTACGACATATGATGGCAGATTCATTTAAATTGTCTCGATAATATACTAGGCGACCTAAGTTTTTAAACATTGCATTACTTTTTTAAAAATTAGTATTACCGTGTTACTCACTTTGAAATCTTGAGAGATGCCTATTCATGACGTAATCGGCGCTAATGGTTTCTTGCCCTCTTTAGAGCGAATTTCTGTCCAAAAAAGGGAGTAACTGATCCTTGCTAGTACCACAATACGTTGCAGTAGTAGTAATAACCTTTTCTGTCAAATACGGTAGGTAAAATGGTAAAGGGTTGGACCTCGGAGCGGAGCCTTCCCGTATAAAACCTAGGTGAGTACCCCAACCCCTGGGGGTTATGCAGCCTTAAATAACTAGAATCAAGAAGACTAAAAAAACACTATAAGTTACTAATACAAATAAACTAACCAGTGTAGGGTTGTCCCTCAGATATTGTACAATGGTTCCCCTTAACTGTGTGTGGGAGAGTTTAATTCCTTTTACGTGGTCAAGCTGCTCTGAAAGTGCAAAAAACATGCAGTTTCCCTTTCCTTGATTGTCAGAAATAACCAGGCCATTTTCAAGCGCCATCCTCTTCAAATTCTCCGACAACTCAGTTTTGCCGGTCTCTTCCCATGCCTCCTGTCGCATATGTCGAAGATCACTGAACGTGAGCTTCTCTGGTAGTTCTGTTATTAAGAGACGGATAACTTAATCAGTATTATTTCCTTTGATTACGTCTGAAGTTTTCAGGCTGATTAAAAAAGCGATAGATGCTAACTGAAGCCCAGTTTGATATAGTCTGTTCTAGGCTCCTAGTTAGTGGGGAGTACGAGTGAACAGAAAAGCGATGCAATAGAAAAAGGTGGCCATGCATAAGCTTCTTGTTTTGCTTGTTCGCATTTATAACTGAGAGCCTGGAACAATATGCCTGGTTCTTGTAACACCGCTTCGTTCCAATGCACAAAAAAGTCTGTCAACGTACATGAGGGTTTATTTATAGTTTTTAACCATGGTTTACCGCTTAGTCCAAAATTCGTAATTAATTTCCTTTTTTGTCGTTTAATTGTTTTAACGTAAGAGTGGATTCTTTTACAACATACGCCTATTAACCCACTGGAATTGTTTACTGTCTTTTCTTAACTTCAAAATAACAAAAAAACGAATCCCCCTAACTTTGAAAGTGTATGGGAAAGTATGCGGAGAACCTGAAGGTATATATGTAGAACAAAACAGCTGCCATTCAGCCTCCCCCTCGGAAGATTATATGCAGAAAAATTACGACAATTTTAGGTATCACGGTCTATCAAAATCCTGAACTATAAATTTTCTGAAGGCTTCGTATTGGCTAATTATAACAACGTCTTCTTAACAGTATAGAAGAACAACAACAACAATCTATGGAAAAATTAGCGACGGCAGTGTACACACTCGGCTGAGGGGCGGAGACCCAACGACCTTGTTTCAAAATACGTCAGAAGTGTGTTGAATGGTTTTCTCTATGCTTAAGGTGACTCGACCCAGTTTTTTTGGGGGGGTACCATCCTCCTACAGACTAGAAACAATAGACAACTCCCAAAGCACAAACTCAGCCAAAACGCTAAAAATCTTCAATGTTTACTCAAGTTTGGGCTTAAAGAAGATAATGTCACAGTTTTTCAATGACCATGAAATTCAGAGTCCGGGTATTTAGTTAATCAATTGTGGCCCTGAAAAAATTTGAAGGAAAAAAAACTACGAATTTTTAAGAAAATGCTTTTTTCGTGAGAAGGACTCTTAAACGCTGACAAACGTCAACAAATAGCGAAAACTATAATATCTATATGTTTGCTTTGCTCGAAATCGCGCGCATTTACAAGGCCCTAAAGCGTTTTGCTGACTTGCAAGGACCCATCTGTTATAACGATGCCCAAAACAAAGAGATGAATCTCATAGTTTATTAGATATAATCCGTGTAAAGTTTGCTTATCATTTTCGCATAAATTATGACCTAAATTTGGAAACCGCTGAATTTCTCGAATTGGGTCTTTGCGATTTTGGTGAAACTCTGTTCAGCGCAAGGCACTAATGCGCACTATGTGTAGCCGAGAGATTTTCACGAAAAAATGCCGGCAACAGCAGATTTTCGACTCAGACCTCAAAGGGGCGTGGCATTATAACCACGTGACATTTACTCCGATCGCCAAAATTTTTATGTTATATTGTAGATTGATCTATATGTTATGCATTCTATGTGTTAGACTTACGATAAAAGTAAAGGTGGGGATACCAGAGAGCTTCAAAGTAGGATGGTACCCCCCCAAAAAAACTGGGTCGAGTCACCTTAAGAAGACTATAAATATTGGTTAATTTAAAGTAGAACTGCCCTAAAAACTATTTATCTGTTCGGACGTCTTAGGGGAACTTTGGTCACCTCGAAAGTTTCAGGTGGCTTTTTCGTCTCATCCGAAATTGTTAGGTACCCTGATGAGTCCGGTCGAAAGTTCGAGAACATAACCGTACTTCTTGATTGTCGTCATTTTATACAAAAGGCTTCAACCTTGACGTTTTGCTTCTGTACAGAGCGATTCTCGTATTCATTAATGTAAAGCAATACCCAATTTCGCACAAAAGAGAAAGACTTCTTCTAAGACCACCCTGCGAGCAGAGCCTCCTCCTTTTGTCTTTTTGAGTGAGGAGGAGAAAAGGAGGCTCTTCCTGAATCACGTCAAACCTTTGAAGTCACCGCAGCTCAAACTTCTGGACTAATCAATCTTTTTTCAAACAGGTTTATTCGACTGCGAGTACCCGCTATTTGTCAAACCGATGGTCACAACCGAGCCCACTAATTAATCTAGTTCTCTCTCGTCAAACCGGTTTTTTCAAGTGCGAGCATCCGTTTATTGATAAACCGATCGTCTGGCTAACCAAGCACACTGAAGCAACATGCCGCGCATGTCCAACAAAGATCTTACTCCATTCATGAGGAGTCTTTCTCCAGGACGCCAAAATTAAGCAAGCGAGAGAAAGGCTCTGCAGGATGAGCTAAGACAAGCTAACATTGCAGACACAGTTTATTGAGGATAATAGGGCAATATCTTAAAACCTAAACTGAATGAAATTTGAGGAAAAGAAGTGGAAATATATAAAGAAAAACTGAAAACTTGCCAGGCTGTCGCTTAAGCTCCCTCAAATCCTGATCTGCCTGGAAACAATAGGCATAAAAGGTAGAAAATTATAATTATTGAATAGCATACAGACCGTGACCTTGATTGCGAATCAGGGTCAGAAAGACACGAGGAACTAATAGGTTTTACAGACTGGGTAGTGCTTCTTATTGGATGGAAATTTTCTTCAACCGATCAGAAGCACTACCCAGGTCTAGGTAGAAGCACCTCATCAGTATGGAACTTCTACACTCGTTTCTCAGACTTCATTTCGCCGGGGAACCAATGGTTGCGTCGCGAAATGTCGTCTGTTTTCTCACGCTACCCACTGAAAATGTTAATGTTTTCATTATTAATTAAGAGGAAAGTCTTGATTGTCTTTCAAATGGCATGATTTTAATTTCAATACTTGTAACAATTTGAGTAAACTTTTTCATTGCTTGGAGAGGCTTAAATTCTACAAGAAGCAACTTACAAGTACAGTGTATCTTGAGCAATCTGCTCGTTCACTCTTAAGTTGCAATGCAAAGGGTTGGTTATTTAAACGAAATCTAACTTAGGCCACGGTTTAAGAAATCTTGGAATCTCCAGATAAATACTTTTCTAGTCTACACTATATGCTTTCACGAAATTGTTCACGTAGACGGTGTTTAGCCTGATAATAGCGTTGGGCAAACTGAAAATGACTTAGAACGAGGTACTGGTGGATTTGTTATATTTAATTAAACATTGGCTAAACTCCGTTAAATAACTGACACAGAGTTTTTCAACTGGTAAGAGATTTGAACAGTTGAAATGCTCAAGCTTAAAGTGATAAGTTATACTTACCGCGCTGGGCATTTTGCGGGAGGGCAACTTTAAGTGAAATTTACACAACAAACGCGTTCTGTCAATGTGTTTGAAGGTGTTTCGAAATTCCACTTGTGCTAGGTCTTCGCCATCAACGAAACGAACTCGCAATTCAGTATTAAACGGAATATCGCTTTCTAATAACCTGTTTAAATGTAAGAGAGAAACATGCATGATACTAGTGCCGCGTAACTTTGTAACCTTGAAACCAGAACTGTCCAGTCACCGGAGAGAATTCAACTATAAATGATGACTGTTCAGATCGGTCTGTTCTTTAAAAGTACCCACAGTGATGAAAGTTCCGCCATTTTGTACTGCTTCTTCCAAAACGACTCAAACTCTCATCACTACGCTGAACTATTGACGTCATTTTCTGGATATCGTAAACATCTTCCAAATTTGGTCAACGCTAGCTGGTTGTCAAGAATTAGCCGTGGGATTTGAGCCAAGCAGAAACGGGGAAATATTTTCAATAAATAATAAATGAGCTTACCTGAGATGAATGTTATTTACGTCCTCCTCATTAAATGGGCGTATTCTTCCTGACAAAAACACAAATGCTTTGTCGCCGTCCTTTCCAGGCATCATATCTTTCATCGAAATGCCATCAGCAAACTTTACGTCTCTTTTTTCAAGATCTTGTGTTACCTCTTGTTTAAGGTGAGCAGAGCAACAAATAAGGGACAAAATGTTTGGAATATCTGGACGAAAGTGAGCGACGAAACTTGCTGCTCGGGGCTGCGTTCTAGTGAAGCGGGTAAGGTAACTTAAGATCCACAGCCAATAAGCCCTGGACTTTTCTTCAAGCCGCTTAAAAAGATACGAATATCTAGAACGAAATAATCGAAAAAATTAATGTCAACCAGGGTGGATGGATTTGTTAGGAGCCTTGAAATGGTAAAGGTCGAATCTTGGATGATTCTAAGTAAATCGCCGAGCGGAAGAAAAAGTTTCCAGTAGATTGAAAAGGAAAAACGTCAGTTTCTTACTTTTTGCGTTGATATTTTTGCTACCCACCTGAAAGACAGGCAGCATGGTAGCTAATATCGCCTTGCATGGGTATTGTTTTTATAAGTTGACCCAGGGATGCTTTGAAAGAAGTACCGGCATTTTTGTTAATTACTTGGACGCATTTCAAGAACCTGAGGGATGCAATGAAGTGGTCATCTAACTTCGTTGAATAGGGGCTTGAGTAGAAAGAAAGAAAGAACAGGTATTGCTTACTAAACAATAATCATGGTCTGGAAGGGTGTATTCGGGATCCGCGATTTGACCGAAATACATTTAACTTAAGATATGGCGAACAGTAAAATGATCCCAGCTCTTGAATCAGACAGTCATAGTTTGGTCAGTCCTCTATTCTTGCGGTCACAGACAACGACTCCAGTCGTTCAAAGGCCCAAAGAAAAGTGAGCAGGAAAAAGAAGGAAGGGAGTCACGGCTGGGAAAGAGAGAGGGAAGAAACCCTCCCCTCTCCCTCTTCGTTTCTAGCAGTGGGGGAAGAAGGTAAAAAACGGGGTCAAATAGGAAAAATATCGGCGAGCGAAGGGAGCCGAGCGGTGGCCTGGGGAAGGAGAAAAAACGCCACCCTTTCCCTTCCCTAGAACGGCCTCTCCGCTCGCTTCGCTCGCCGATTTTTTTCTTTTTCCCCCAATGCGGAGCTTGGTCCCAGGTTACTTGGTTCCTTCCGCTCCTGTTTTCCCTCCGCTTCGTCATACTAAGGTATAATTCAAAATATCAATCGAAAGGGCAAATCTACATGTTGATTCAAGAGCTGGGATCATTTTACTGTTCGCCATATCTTAAGTTAATAGCAAAAACAAAAAACGGGATTCGGGAAAGCGATGAAAAAAGCGCGGGATGCCAGATTTTCGTGGAAAAGGAGAGCGAACGAGGGATCAGCACCCCTCCCCACCCCTCCCCTCCAGACCATTACTGATGCAAACAAAGTTTAATTGAGCGTTCGCCCATTCAACATTGAGGCCATCACACACCTGAACAAAAGGAATGTCTGACTATGTTGAGCAACAACACTACCGTTCAACATGTTGTTCAAACGGCTCCGAAAATGTTGTTTTCAGTAACGTTGAATGAAGTTTAATCAACATTTTGGATTAAAAAGGGTTCAACTGTCCATCTCTCGGGTAAATACAAAAGATACTAATGATTTTTCTAAGCTTCCTTACCGAGAAAATCGTTGGACTTGGATCCTAACAAACTTTGAATCAAACTGTGTCGGTTCTACCAGATCAGTCAGTTCAGTCCATTCCTTTTCTTCCTCCTCGCAATTCAGGAACAACACTCTCACATGGCATTTAGTGGGATCTGGTTTAAAGTCTTGCCGGTCTCGAAGAGAAACTGGCAGCTGAATGGTTACAGGCCTAAAGAAGTGGACAACCTCAGAGCATTTAATTCGCAGAATAGGTCCAAGAAATACACCTTCCTCTTCAAATTCTTCATTTGGAACTTCTTGCACCTGTATCATTTAAAAGAGTAATCATCAGCAGTTAATTCCATGTATTCTTTAGGCTTTAAAATTGACGTGGATTCCCCACAAGTTAAATAAAACGTTAACGTAATTTAAGTAACAAAAAGACCTCTACAAATATTCAGTAAACGATTTTTCAGTCAAGCCCTCTAGACTAGTCATTATTAGATCGTCATTTTTTTAAAAAACCGTATCACTTTAATAATACTTTCTTTATAAATGGACCTTTTGACCTTTTGGATCACACCAACCTTTAACTCCAGGGTAAACAGTGACTCGGGTGCAACAGCATTCTTGGGGATTGTAACCGTCACGCCTGGATAATCAGGATGAATGAATAAGCCGCCAGTAGATGTGATGGTGTAAGGCGGAGAAGATTTGAGACGGCAAACCACTGCATATGTTGAGCACTCATTTATGTCAGCTTGAGCAACGGGGAAGAAAAGGTCTGGTATATCCTTGTGAGAAGGGCGCTCATCTTCGATATCTGCTACCGACAAAAAATACAAGTAAAATGTAAGTATCATAATAATTATGCTCTTTTTTTTACTTCCTTTGCCATCTAAAAAAGACTGACGTTATAGAAATCAAGACTGGAAACAAGATTCAGATCGAGAGCGCAATCGCAACTGCAACACTTGATATGAACACTATCTCAAAAAAACAAAACAAGACAAACCCTTCAGCAATACGGATGACGTACACCGTTACCGCTTAGGGAAGCAGAGTCTGCCAAACGGTTCTCTATAGTTGCCATAAGTCTACTACATCACCTTGGCGACAGCATAAGTCCTTGGTTCCACTCACGTCTTCCCATTCATTGGTCTCCTTGTTGATCTGCCGTTTTATCACCACTTCGTAGCCCCGTAGTTCCGGTGCGCTGTGAGAAAGCGACAAAGTCACCATGGTATTGAATTGCAGGCGTTGGCCATCGTGGGAAGATAGTTCAATAACATTGCTGACAATGGCCTCGTGTTCCTGCAGCGGGGGTGAGCAGACACTGGATTTCCATCTGTAGACCACTATTGACGTAGGCTCAGACACAGCATTTGGATGGAATATAAGATGGACAGCCCCTAGTTTGAGGGCCCAGCGGGTACCTTCACTGGTCACTATTTCTCTGCAATGAGCCAAAATTTTAATAGTCGGTTGTTATCAAAACATAGCTAAAAGTAAAAAGTAAGTAAAATAAGTAAAATCTACAATCAATGAAGAACAAAATTTTTAAAGCTTATTTTTTTTTTGGGGGGGGGGGGGGGGGATAGATAACAGAGACTGGACAATAATGGTTTTGTTCCATGCAGTACAGGGGTCAATGTTAGTCTTCTTCTTTCTGACGAGTTCAAGACAAAAAAATCGTCGTACTAGAATATAAATATAATATAATGTTAACTATATTATTTAACATCAACTCTTAGCTACTTTTATCCTCCAAAATTAGATTACCCTACCCTTAGCCTTCAGCAAAGAAACTAAACAAAGTCTGTCGTTGTCGGATTTCAAACAATATTCTATTGATAAAACAGAACCTTTAATAAATTTTGACTGCGACGTTCAGCCGGATGCTCGTCTACGATGTATAATTATGCTTACTTTTACCGTGAGCGAAACACTTTACAAAGGGGGTCTTTGATGTGACTAGTAGGGTCATCTTTTTAAAAAAAAAAAAAGAAAAAAAGCATACTGAAAAGAACGGAATTTGAACTCCTAACAAGTTTCGCACATGGAGAAATTCAAAACGCCGGGTAAAATATAGACTTTTTGAACTTTACGCAAAACGTATGTTGTAGATGTAGAGTGCACACGGTGCACTCAACCCGTGCAAACAATAAAAGACATTAAAAACATTTGGCCCCGTCCAAACGTATCCAAGCCTGCGAGAGCAGACGCCTTTTACAGCTCTTTGAAAAAGCATCTTTTTTCGTGGAATTAGTCTTCCGTCTACAGATATAATTCGTATCAGAAATAAAAAAACTCACTAAAACGCAACGTTTTGAAAAACGCTCCCCAGAGACGAAAGGTCGATTTCCCCGATCACTGTTCTGGGGTGGAAGGATGAAAAAGGAAAACTATCGAAACTAATCTCGAGCAAAACAAGAATGTTTCAATGCCACTTTCTTTTTTCAACAAGTGTAGAATATCTAAGGTTCCACGGTGCTTACCTTGTAATGACACTTCTGCTTTCACCGATATAAGTACTGTCTTTAACTTCAGTTTCACCAGGCTCTACGACAACCTCTTCATTTGCGAGTTTCACAGGTAACACAGTCTCGGCCACTTCTTCCTTTTCGCCAGCACTCAAAAGCATTCCAGTTTCAGCTGTTTGTTCGATCGAAGGCGTACTCTTTCCTCCTTGGGAAGATAAGATGCGAAAATAAAATAAATTAGCATAAAACTAAAGTACTGTATGTCTACCTGTACAGTTTTAAAAGCGGAATTTATTAGCAAAGTATTTCACCAGTTGACGACACTATGGCTAAAGACTTGATTGTAAGCTCTCGTACTCAGTGAACTGAACACCTCAGTTGCCGATGAATGTCAGATGAATCCTGATGTTACGAAATGGACGTCCAGGAGCGAGAGGGACGTGACAACTTTGCCATATTAAACGACTGGCTTTTCCTTTTAATATTTCCTTCTATTTAATGTAACACACGCCACTTTGGAGGTTTGAATTTCGGATACTGAGGATAAAGAAGACACAGACAAAAATAGGAACTTTGAAAATTTCGCACTCAAGATCAAAGCTTCACCTGGACATCCCATCTGGGAGCTTCACAAAGACCAACTTGAGGAAAATAGGAGCTATTACTGACAAGGTTTGGTGACTGAGTAGAGCATACAAGTGTAGCCCAGGTCGAGGTTTCAGGGGGTTTGCTTTTGTTTGTATCTGTATCTTGCTACGGCTTTTATCATTAAATTTGTACATGATCTTGTGATCACAATTCTGTGTTTTCGCCCATTCAGCAAGCACGATATATCAGATGTATTGATGTCAGCATTAGCGAGTTTCAAAAAACATGCCTTTGTAAATTTTCAGCTCGCGTGATGTTTCTTAATGTTTCTTCTACCACTTTAAGGAGATGGAAACTGAAGTCACCTCGAAATGACTGGAACTTAAAAAAGAGTATAATCCATTTATCTCGAAACATAATACACATAACTTATACGACCTTTATTTTCCTAAAGGTGTTTTGAATAGGAACGAACACAGTAAATGTAAGCGGCAAAAACAGTCTTCATATGAATGAACCATAGGATTTTAATTAATATAAAGGTCAATTATTGTGCATTGAGATGTATCGCTTGAAGAGAAAGAGTTCGCTTGCAGAGAAAGAGTTCGCTTGCAGATGTGATCAGAAGGCAGTAAACAAGGGCATAGTGCGTTACGTTCAGTCTTTTTAATATCCAAGGACTGTGAATAGCGTTTACATATTGTTTAGCTGGCACAAAAACTTCGGACGAGTTATGAAGCGGCATAGTTATCTGCCGTGAAGAAAAGCTAGTCACGGGTGAGACAAACAGCGAACTCGAGCGAATTTTTAACTCATATCGGTATCAGGTAAAAAATATGTTAGCGATCGTTTTATCTATTTACATTGTTTTTAAACAATTTAAAAAGTGCGTGCTGATGAAAGCAACATGCGAGGGAGGATTTTAAGGCCGATACATTCGAGGGGTTTTGCTCCCGGAACATGCTCCAGTCTCATTTTGTACTGCCAGTATACACGAGGGGTTATACTGCGGGAGCTAGCTCCTTGTTATGGTACACACGTGGGAGCAAACGAAAGAAACTTCGTGTGGGATAGCTGATATTCACCAGATGAGGGTTTGGGAACTAGTATAAAATTAAACAAGGCGACTTCCTTGCCATCCAGATCAAAACAGAAAAAGTTGATTCTTTTGATGATGATGATTCTTGAAGATGTCTCATCAGTTAGTAAAAATGCCAGGGAAACTTGGGCTCGCTTGTAGCTTCTGAGAAGACAGGAGAAAGGGGCTTTTTATACTATTTTTCGAGAACTGTCCGTGGAATATTCAGACGGATTTGGTGAATACATGAGAATGCCATACGCAAACTTCGAGATCATCAACTTCTACACTTTAGGTCGACGCCATGTTGAATTTTGAGCACGAGTCAAGGGTTCCAAAGGAATTGTGGTTGAAAATATTGGCTAATTTGATTGATTAATGTTTTACATTTGCCGTGTTAATCCGCGCGCAACAAAAAGTGTCAGTACACACGAGGGAGCGTTTTCAAGTTCGCTCAATTTGCCCCGGGAGCTTGCTCCCAAATATTTAACCGGTTAAATATCGTGGAGCATTTTGCGGGGTGGAAATTCTGCTCGCGAGGATGTAGTATACCAATCAAATCAATGGGCAGTTGGCTGTCTGTTTTAGTAAACTTCTGGTTTTCATACAATACAATATTTCTGTCTAATGTAAATCAGCCCAGTGGCGAGTAGCTGACCCTGTCGCATTTTATACTCTTAGAGTATAAAAATTTTTGGAATTTCCGGTTACATAAATTAGTCTCTTTATACTGTCACGCTATGTTTTGGGACACTGAGGGATGGGGGGGGGGGGGGG